GCACCAGCCCTTTCCTTCCTGGCTATCTTGCCAAGTCATTTTCTCAAGTTTATACCATGTCACTTGCTCAAGTCCTTTCTGCTCTGGCGTCTTGCCAGGCCCCCTTTTCTCAGGCCCATACAAAGCCAATTACAATTTTTTTCTTTTCCGACCATCTTGACAGGCCCCTTTTTCCCAAGACCAATTACAAATCTTATTTTCATGCGTATTCATTGGTAGATGGCACACCTTCCCCCCACTCAAAATGCGATGTCCCCATCGCGCGACTGGTCCTCACTCGGAGGTACGAGACCTTTGGCCCACCAACTGCAAGTCAAGGACACAAGCCCATCCGCTTCACAAAAGGAAGAGTGATCAGTTCCTCCCCAGCGAACGACGCCTCATCCTTGTACTTGGTCCGACCTTTCTTCTCTTACGTGGCGAGCACCAATACTGAGGTTCCTCCCCGTGTCTGTTAGGTAGGTCCAATCCAAGCCTGCCAGGGCCTCGTCTAGTCGTAAGAGCGTTCCTCGCGAATCGTTCCTCCAGAGTGGTGATTTTTTGGATTCCGGCCTCTTCCTTCCAAGAGAGTTGGGGCTCTCGATCAGTTCGCGAGTGCAGTTACGAAGTCCTCACAATTAGTCCCGAAACGGTTGTAATGTTCCGGCAGGGCAGTGTCAGTGCCCCGTGGTGGTGGCGGACTCCACTCGGTACCTCGCCCAGCCTCTCCCCTTGGACAGTGCCGCCCAACTTAGTGCGGGCAGTCGTGGTCCGACCCAAACGGCCATGCGACCCCTTTATGACATGGCGTGTGGTTGGAGAGTAGCAAAATAGACTAGATGAGAATGACTTTCCTGCCCATTTGGCTCTCTCGCCCTTTGACGTTTAGACGTTCAACAGAAGGCGCAGTTGGAACTCCCCGACTAGAGCTCATTGTCGAAGGTGGTTCCGGACGTCCCGCACTGATCTAAGTGGTGGGTGCCTTAGTCCTTTAACCCTCATCCTCTAACAAGAGGAACAAGTCGCGCTGAGACTTTTTCCCTCAAGGGGATAGAGGTCTTTGGGGTTGCGGTGCATGCGCCGATATCCCCCTCTTGCTGAGGCCGAAGACTAGAAAAAAAAAGAGAAATTTCATTTCAAGGCTCTTTCCAAGTCCATTTCCAGTTGCCTAGGGTCCCCTGTTTATGCAATGCCTTTTCCAATGCTCGATTCAATTTCGATGCTCAGTCTCATTCCCAGGCTCAATCTCAGTCCAGTGCTCATTCTCAGGCCAATGCTCAATGCAATATCCCTTCCACGGCTGAGTCCAATATCTCTTCCAATGTCTTTTCCAAGGCTCAGGTCTTCCAATCTCTTTTCCAAAGTTCCGCTCTTCCGGTTCCATGCATCACAAGCAGCCATGCAAGGGGACCCCAGCGCCATTTCCAGAGAATGACCCTTGTCAGGGGCCATTCTGAACAACCTGGTTAGGGTCGTTCTTTCCATTTCCAAGTCGAACAGCCCGGTTAGACCATTCTTATCCATTGCAATCGAACAGCCTGGTTAGGACCATCCTTATCCATTTCAATTGGGCAGCCTGATTAGGGCCATCCTTGTCCATTGCAATGTTAGCGCCCGAGGGGATGGGCCTCGAGGACACGGATCCTATCTCGTCTCGGGGGTTAGAGGGCGGCCATCGTCTTAGGTTTTTACGCATGCTTCTTCCTTCTCCTCATGTCTTTTGTCATTCTTACATCCATCCATGCATCCGACTGAGCGTCTAGTACCCAAGTTGAGGCTCGCGGCGCCAAGCAGCACTTAGCCCGCCCGGCCGTTCAACCATTGCACGGGGTGTTGCATCATTTCAATGTTTCCCTGCCATTTTTCTGACTTCTCATATGCTTCTCAATGCTCTGGGATTGCCTGGGGTAGGTTGGATTAGGCTCCTAGGGGAGAGGGTGTCTCTCTACCCATAGGTCCCCTAACCTCTCACAAGGACTCGTGGAGGGACTCATTCAATCATGGATACATAACTCAAAGGAAAACCTTTCATCATGAATGTTTCTTCCAACGTTCAAGATCTCACATGCCGCTGCCCATAAAGTCAGCCAACCCCCAATCCCTTTCTTACTACCCAAAAAGCTCATGTTTCCCAAATGGAGCGAGTACTTGTACAAAGTAGCCTTGATCACTCACCCTCTACTAGCTCCCTCAATCCAAAAAGTAGTTGCATTGCAGTCCTTACAAGGAAAATTAAGGAGACAGAGTTTGAATGCACAAACAACATTACAGACTCGTCTTTGTCTAGATCCCCGTTGTTTTCCCTTTTTCTTTCCCTTAATCTACCCAGCCATCCAGAATTTTATTCTAAGTGCAAAAAAACTCTCGTGCCCATTCCCGAAGAAGCAACGACTTATATGAAGTAGCATTCGTTACCCAGTCCTTAGCCGCTTCGAGCTTAGCAGCTGTCTCATGACAGTTCATTCGGAAAGTTCAAATGCGCAAAAGGAAAGATGACAGTTCTTGCTGCCCGGTTACCAACCCTTCCCCGATTCCCAGCTATTCCCATTATGCCTGCTGTCCCCTTTTACTGTCCCGTGCCCTGCGCCGAGCCTCCCTCCTTGCACGGTCCTCCATCTCTTGCTCCATTAGCCTCTTTATCGTCTGTAGATGACGAAGCGTTTCTTCTGAAAAGAAGGTTGTTGGGGATATGTCTTCTCCCCTGTTCAACTTTTCCTTGCCCTTCATAACCCACTGATAACGCAAAATACTGGCCCATTGATCGAACCAATCGCTGAAAGTTGGCCCGAATTCTCTTTTTCATGGGTCCTTTTCTTCCCTTGGGTCCTCCTCTCTTCCCCGATCTTCCCTTGTGGGCGTTGTTACCTCATCTTCCTCCTCGTCGCTGGTGAGGTCAATGAACTCAACGGGCTCATTCTCTCCCGGCCGTTGTCCTTCCTCTGGGTTCTCCTCTTCCTTACTACTAGGATCACTGTCTGAAGGCAGCTGTATTGGCTCCACTTCCTTTAGTGGTGACGGTCCTCTGTTCACAACTAGGTTGTGATCGAACCCCACATACAACTTCCTTTTCCTGGAGCTTGACTCTCCAGCTTGCCTTGACGACTGTCCCTCTTCCGGCCTGTTAATTGCATTGCCGTCATTTTCATTCCCAAACTCCATTTTTTTCTTGCTGTCTTCCTTCTTCTTGCCTGGCCTTGTTCATACATAACAGTCACGGTACCCCTCATACACACGCATTCCCTTCCACTCCCGTTTGCGGCTCTGGAGGCTTCTCTAGAACTCTTGCTTGCCCCCATATAGTTGGTAGCCCCATTATCCCTTCGAACCCTCGACACATTGTCCCAACACATAGGTGCCCCATGTAGGCAATCCACAGCATCACCCCCCCCCCAAAAAAACTATGGTACATTGTCCCAGCCCATAAGTACCTCGCGTAGACAGTCCCCAGCGTTACCCCACAAAAACTATAATACACTGTCCCGTGCTCCCAGGCCCAGTCACAGTCAGCCCAGGCAGTCTCCCCACGTTCCACAAAAGTCAAGACACACAGACGAACAATCCTTATGGTCATGATCACTTCCACAGGGAGGCGGTCCAAAACTTATAGCCAGCTGCCTGCCTTTCAGTCTGTCAGTTCCCCAGTTTCCCTGTCCTGGGCCTCTTGTAGCCACTGTTCCACCGGATCCCTGCTCAAAAATCTGACCAATCTCTGTCCCGGAAATGACCCTCTTATGCTAGTACCATCGAGATCCTCAAGTTCAAATGTGTTCAGTCCCACCCGCTTAGCGATCCTGTAAGGCCCTTTGAATCTTTTTCCCAGCTGCCTGGACCATGTGCTTTCAAGAGCCGAGTTCCTAACTAGCACCTTTTCCCCCATCTGGAGTGGCTCCTTCCGAATGTTCTTAACCTGGTCCCATCTTGCTTTATCCCTTATTCGGTTGTCCGTCACACGGTTGACTACTTCCTCGAGTGTCTCCTCATTCCTAGCGACCTGCTGACAACGTGCGGTGATTAACTCTTCCGTGCTCAAGTGTGGATCGTCATCTAGCCTGTTCCAGGTAGGGACCAAAGCTTCTATCGGAAAATCGATCTCCCTTCCATACCAGAGTTCTGCTGGAATACATCCCGTTGTTCTTTTTGGAGTCATGTTCTCGGCGAAGACTGCCTGCTTGAGAAACCGTGSCCAACTTCCCAAATTATCTGCTGCCAACTTTGCGATTGTGTTCTTCAAAGTCCGGTGACCCCTTTCTACTRGTGCATTTGCCTCAGGATGGTAGGGCTCGGTGATCTTGATCGGTACACACAGTGTCTTAAGCCTGTTCAACACTTCCTGGTTAACGAATTTTGTCCCATTGTCTG